AGTGCGAGGACACAGTGAATGTAACGGATCAGCAGTTGGTTAAAGCGTGCCACCGATTTGCAGTCTAAACACAACGGCGCAGGTTCTCCTAATTGTGGGACACGCAGACGCATGCATGTCGACGTGATGGTTTCCGTGGCTTAGCGAGTGTGGTTAAGTATGGGTAAACATGGTGTGGCAGAAGCCTGTCCAAAAGCAGGCAGGTAACGGAGGGAAAATTCGAGAGATAAATCGAAGCACTCCTTATGCTGGGAAAGCACATTTGATGCGCAGCAGGAACGGATGATTCACAGATAAAGAGAACCGAGCCAATGCATCCGCATTAGGCCATCAATGAAGTTGGTCACGAAGATAGTGCAGTGGGACATCCGTGGGTCAAAGAAAATGGACAATGGGGATTGTGCCTGTTAGCCAACTGGGGTCACTTTAACAGGCATAAGCCACCGCCTAGAACGCGGGGGATGTGAGGACGGAACGGAAAATATCACTTTTCTCCGGGATGTGTGTGCTGGTTGTTAGTAGGGGACAGGGAGCGAGACACTTGTCTAGACTACTGTTAACTTTCTTCAACAGCGATGATGGATTCCACGCGTGACACAGCAAGAATTTGGTAGTATGAGCGTCCGACGTGGTTCAAGAAGAGGGTCGGGCTACTGAAACCCAGGAAAAATGCACTGTGGTGGTAAGTACGTCGACCGTGTCCGCACAAATCAGCTGGTACTCGAAAGACGCCATACACACAAATGTCCTACGGAGCTGATATATGAAACCGGGGCCACACACCACATCAACAAACCGACACGCATAACTGCGCGCGCGACATCACCGTTCTTAGACCTGTTTTTGACTAGCTGAGCCACGTGCGCACGACATTCACGTCTTGGAGCCCCTGGGAGCAAGTGAGAATTCGATGACCATAACCAGCTTGGAACTACCGCTGCCGCATTCTGCCCCACCGGAGCCAGTCTTCAACTATTGGAAGGCGGACTTTAATGGCCGCACTCGAGCAGCGGGCCAGATGGACTGGTCGTTACCAGAGGATTCGTCAGTTGAAAGTTGTTTGGATATCATTAAAGCGGAAGTGAAATCATTGTGCCCCCGATTTGTACCCCTCAAGTATCGGAAAGTTGGGCCAGTCAAGCCACATTGGTTCGACAAGGAGTATAGCAAACTGACCCGACGACGATGCAGACTAAGGAACAAATGCGTGTTAGCTGGCTCTGACGAGGAGTGAAAGGCATACAATATACCGCGAAATCTCTGCTACAACGCGAAAACAAAAAAGTGCAGAAACTTCCAAGAGCAGCTTGCAATCGCCGCAAAAACTGCTCCCAAGAGGATTTCTGCCTACGTGAAGCGGCGGCTGAGGCCCGCAGGCAATGTTCCAGTGTTGGAAGGCTCAGATGGGCAGCCCCTAACCTCGAGCACAGATCGTGCGTCCGCATTGGCGGTGCACCTCGCTTTCGTATTTGCAAGTGACCAGTTTCCTGTACCGAGTTCGACGAGTACCGCTTCCGCTGAACTAGACAGCCTGGATTGCAACACTGAGGATGTACGCAAGCTTCGGGCAAGTCTTCACGGGACGAAGCCGGCAAGAGGTAATCCACCCACTGATCCTCAAGTCCATATCGATCATAATCTCGCCTTCTGTAACTGGGCTGTTCAACAGGTCACTATCCACTGGACTATTACCGGGCGACTAGAAATGCTCAGTCGTAAAGCCAATACCGAAAGGTGGTAACCCCAGCAAAGCGGAGAACTACCGGCCGACCTGTCTGACTGCTGTTTTGGCAAAGACGCCTGAGAAGATCGTGAAGAAGAGTCTTCTGCAGCTTCCTGAGTCGAAAAGCCTCTTGGCGCCCGCACAGCATAGTTTCGTGAAAGGTCGCTCGTGCATCATCAACCTACGCTTCACGAGATGAATGTTGCAAGCGCTGAACCAAGACAAGTTGGTCGACGTCATCTACATTGACTTCAGTAAGGCCTTTGACAAGGTGAATCATGCAGTGCCTCATGACAGGCTGAGGGTGTACGGTCTTAGCGGCTCGCTGCATAGATGGATCAGGAAGTTCCTTGTTGATCGAAAGTGGAGGGTACAGGTCGACAACCATTTGATCGACTGGTATCCATCGAGCAGTGGCGTGCCCCAAGGCACTGTACTGGGGCCGATTTTGTTTCTGATCCATGTAAACGATGTACCTCAGCCACTCCATTCACCTTTATGCGTTGTTCGCAGACGACTTGAAGGTGTGGAGAGTAATCCGCGCACCCAATGACCGTGACCTGCTTCAGCAGGACCTCGACCGCCTCTCCGCGTGGTCTGCAGAGGTTAACCTTCCGATCAACCCGGTCAAGTCGCAATTAATGAGGCTGGGTAAGGGTGACAGTCGAATCTAGACGCTGGTAGGTCAACCATTGCATCCCGCGCCTTTCGTGCGCCACCTCGGTGTACTCTCACGCTACGACCTAAAGTCAATGGACAACAATAGGCTTTACCAAAACAGCCTTCGTATGCTTTGGGCGATCAGGCGCAGCTTCACCACTTGGTCCGAAAATATTGCCACTCGCCTCCTCCTCTCAATAATATGACCAAGATAGAGTATGGCTCTCTCGCGTATTGTCCTATCATCCGGGGCGAGATAGAAAAGACTGAACGAGTGCGGCATGTTGCCCTCAGCCTGATTCCCAATTTACGAGGTGTGCCGTACGAAGACCGGTGTCAGAAACTAGGCCTTTACACCCTAGCTTATCGTCGACCGCAGGTTGACCACATGATGACGCACCAAATATTACATCTGAGTGATTACCCTAGGTTGAGACCACTGCTTCATTTGCGCACACCAAGCAACACACGAGGACAACGATATAAGCTTGTCGTACCGGATTTGAAGCTTGTCGCTCACCAACTCTGTTTCGAACGGAGAGTAGTGAATGTATGGAACAACCTGCCGCAGCACGTAGTTGAGGCAAAGTCGGTGTCGGAATTTAGGCAATTCCTGGACAAACACTTTGCTGACATGAAATACATCGAGTGCACCACAACATAACGGGTCGATGTTCCTGAGTGACGTTAGATGCATCTACACAGAGATATCTCTTCTTGGTGCTTCCAACCAGTAATCAGCAACTGTACCAGGTTCCATGGTTTTTGGAAGTTTAATGTCCACTGTCATGATAACAATAATGGTTATTGCAGACGCATATATATATATATATATATATATATATGGTTAGCGGCAGCCGGCTTCGCATTTGCGTGTCATTATGGCCAGCCACAGGACGCCTGCGCCTACAGAGGGACCATGAGTCGCTTGCGCTGCACCACCCACAGCTCCATCCACACACCCCATATCCAGTGTAAACCCGAAGGAATAAGACCGGGAGGCATGCGGATGGGAGCCACGTTTCATCAATGGAGCCGGCTCACGCTCCTTCACAAGCAAACACAAGCACGCTGTATTTGGGGAATCAAGCGCACACAAGGCGGTGGCTGGACCGTAGTCCGCTCCACACTGAGTGCATGGAACTACTCTTTGAGCCTAGCACGACTACAAGGACCGTGCACACCGTCCCCTCTAGCAACGACCAACTGTCTCCTGGAGCCAGTATGGACGAGGTAGTGGATACTAGAGAGGTAGGCACCTTGTCAATATGCACATCAAGCGCAGCCACACCTGGGATGTCAAACAACAGCCAATCATTCGAAATGCTGATATCAAATAAAGGATATCGAATAAAGTAGACGTATACGACGACAGAGATGCTCGCTAAATGAGCACATGGAGTAAATTGGTTATAAGCGAATCCGCGATAAGTACAAAATGTCCGAAAGGTATTTAAAAAATACCAGGTGATAAAGTTACGCAAGTTTACCACAATGTGCATGAGCGACGTGTGCAAGTTAGGAGAAGAGTATCATTTAGACAAAACAAACCAAATAAGGTGGAATGAATTTTATCCACATTAAAAAGACCTGGTTTAATTGTATGTTGGTTTAGCCCAACTGCGGTAAAGAAGCAACGTGGATGCAACATCAGCCTCAGCATGGGGCATATATATATATATATATATATATATATATATATATATATATATATATATATATAAACTACTAGTGTTATCATTTTAGTAATGAGTCATGACAAGTGGATCCACCGCACTTGAGTACAAGTAGTACGTAGCGAATCATGATACTGAGACTGAGGTGAGAACAGACGAAATGACAAACGAGTACGTACCATATTCGCGAATTCCGGGGCATTTGCATTCTTTCCATCGAGACAAATCATGAGATCACGGGAAGGGACGGGTGATATCCAAGACCAATAATAATTCGGGCAAGATTCCACGCAAACCTGAGAAGAGTAGAAAGGTGGGCAGCGTAAATGCAGGACTCAACTTTGACTGTACTAAAACGGGGATTCTGATCGACGGAGGGACTAGAAATGGAGGAGAGCTCCTTGAAGTCTGGTCAGCAAGGAAAATTTGATAAACGTGCACACTGACCTAGAACTTTGAGGGCCAGCAATTCAGATGAAATGAAAAATTGCCGTTAGAGGCAGCACGAACCAGTGATATGATAGTAAACAGAAATGCCTACGCAGCTACTATCCTGTGGCCAACAGAACCGTATGGATCCGTCCCCGCTGCAACAACGGTTTTTACAACCACCGGTAGAAAGTGCCCAAGTATCAGTGGGTACAATAATGAACGATCAATCCGGCGAGATGGAGTTTAAAAGCAATTGAAACGTACTGCAGCATAAAATCTGTGGCAGTATGAGGAAATCTGACAGAACTACGGGAAGCCTACAACGATCGTTAAGCAAACAGCAACTATGAGAAAAACTTTTTACTGAAAGCTATCGGGAGCGGTGCCAGAAACACAATGTCGATCCGTTTTGACCGTGAAGACTAAAGTGTATAACTTCAAACTGCTGTACAGTCGGATTCATAGCAATGCCTATTGCAATCTAACCACATTTACGGTGCATCACAGTTCTATTTGGGACTTTCGGAACAAAGACTTTACCCTGGTTGGACTAAGATGCAGGATAAATGTGCGGTTCAAGTTTTTTCTATGCAGATATGCTGCACTGTGCAATCGACCCCCAAACCCAATCAGGTCGTGTGAGTGTGCAATAAGCTCAGAAGCTACCTCGATTTGTACGCAGTTATGATCTTGCTTTCGTGAGAAAGATCGCCTGACGATCTACTTAACGAGAGCCGAAATAACATCTAATCGAGAACATGGGGGAAATTCTGGCAATCTAGACATCTGTCAGTGTCTCGCCCCACCTTAACATAAAGCACGAGCATGTGTGACATATATACGGCCAGAAACACGGACAAGAACAAGCACACAACTAATTGCTCATGCAAGAGCATGATAGATCCTGTACACGTGTCATCTATGCCATACATCGATGCAGCTTCCCACTTGAGGAGAAATATACCTATTACTGTTATTATTAATTATTCGTATTATTAAAAAACAACTGGATGATGGATGGTGGTATCCACGAGCGAAACTACTTATCAAAATAGAATGAAGATGTAACATCGGTTGGTGATGAAATACGTATAACCATGTTACTTAAACTGGTGAGCAAAACAACGCGCAACATGATAGTTTTCAATCTAGGTAGAGATTAGTAAAAGTAGCCACAAGATAGTGGAGAGGTCTCATGGGTTGTGCAGCTTACCTGAGGAGTTGGACAGTCGACGATCATCAATACAGGTGCCAGAGTGAAGCATCGCGACAAGTCAAAGAAGTATAAATAAGGTTTGCCCCTGAGAGATGTGAAAAATCATGCGTCAGCAACGATCGAATACCTCGAGAAGAAAGCGGACAAATGTACAGTTAGGGGAGGTACCAAGCCAGGAGTTCGTAATCAAACATGCTAACGATTGGCAGAGCTCATGGCGGTGGTGGCCACAATGCAGAAGAAGGAGACTGCTTAAAAGTACGCAGGGCCTATTGAAATTAGCAAGATGCCAAGCGACATTTTAATAACGTTCGTCCTAACAATGCGAGTCACGATCGGCCTTGTCCTTGTGGGGACAAATCAGGTCCACCGAAGTCGGAGTTGGTACCCGTTTCAGTAACCAAGTGAATAGCGACATGAGTGGATCAGAGTCACTTGCGGAATTGACATCGCTCACTTTTGTGTGAGCAACCTTAGTCGCGATCGTAGGCACCATGGAATTCGATCGTAGGCATTCATATTAGAGTATTACATAGTTCAGCTGAACAACCATGATCTGGGCACATAAGTGCGCTTTTCGAGACTTTATCGTTAAAATAACGATGAGAAAAGAAGGTGGAATGCGAAGAAAATGAAAGCAAAAAATAAAGATACCAACAGCTAGATGCAAGAAACAGAATGCAGGAGCGCCATAGACTGCATGAATGCACCATGTCTGATACGGTCTCCAAGCACTGGTGCGGACTATCCCGGGGCTCCCATCCACGAACTCGGGAGGCATCAGCCTGACTAAGTCTCGCAGTCGATTTAAGTATACCCTCATGCTACGTCATCGATTGGCCAGTTCATAGTTCCGCTGAACTTGGTTCAGTGATGTGATTTTAAAAATGTGTCAGCTGCAGGCCGTAATGGGGCTTCGCTGCCGCGAGACCACCACCAGTCGCGCGCAGGCTGAGTATATCGCGAAGACACCAACCCCTATGCGGATTCGAACCGGGGACCTTATGGTTGCAAACCAAGCGTGCAGACCACTCGGCCACCGCCCGACACAGATACTGAGGTACGTGAATCGAGCTACCACTCCCAGTGATTGTTCGCTGATAGCTAAAACAAATGAGGTATCGGTCCAGTCTTGCAATGATATCTCGCGCTTTGAAGGCGCAAAGCGCTTCCCGAAGCGTGCAGCGCTATACATGAGTCTATCCAGCAGTGTTTGCATAGCCACTGCGTTAGACCCAAGAAGATCTATGTCGTCTGCGTACTCAAGGTTTGTTAGTCGGTCACCTAGCAGAAATTCCAGTCCGAAAAATTCCGAATGAACGGAGTCTCATATGACAGTTTTGACCAGAAAGTTGAAGAGTGAGATATAAGACAACCCGGTAGAGTCTGAAGGAACCGAATCATTCATGATCATTCCAATCACAAAGTTGAGGAGGAAAGGAGTTGTAGGATAATCCTGGCAAACCCCATTTGTCGTGGGGAACTCATGAGACAGCTTTCCATGGACCTTTACCCAGGGACTTAGGGGTTACGATAGATAAACATCGGAATGGGAGTTTTCCTGATATACTCTTCACGGATACGCAGAGACAATGTGTCTCGATCCACAGAGTCAAAGGTAGCTTTCAAGACAAGAAAAAGCATCATAGTCGGTCGTCTGTAAAGGGCACCAAACAAGGACGAAGCCAATCGTAAAGTGACTGCAAATAGTCATATTCTAGCTGAATGCAATTCCAGCGATCGGCACGAACATGTCCTACCTCAAAGTTAGCAAAAGCACCACTCCGAATGATGCGAGTTGCGTACCGACATCGGAGCAGCAGAAACACAGAAGCTCAAGTGGGAGTCATTTTGTAATACACGTTGTCTGAATGGATTTCGACACAGAACATCAATCAATCAAGACTTGGGACCACTTTGAAGTGAACACTGGTCAATACAGTCACCGGGACCTCAGTTGAAGCAGATGATCGACAGATGTTGCTCGCGTGCAACACTGACACCCGCATTAGCTTTATTTCCATTGCCTCGAAACTTCTCGTAGGTATCATTCGTGGACGACCTACTGGTCCCCGTGAGGACCGAGACACTCAAAACCAGGCTGGCTTTCGCCCTAACCGTGGCTGTATCGAACATATATTTACTCTTCGCCAAGTTTTAGAGCAGAGACACACATACAGACGACTGACTATGGTGGTTTTCCTTGACTTGAAGTCGCCTTCGATCCTGTTGACGACATCAGCTTGTGGCAATGCTTATCCATAAGTGGCGCGTCGGATAAATTCCTTTCCATTATGCAGTCTCTCTTCTGTGATTCCTGAGGCTGTGTAAGAGTCTACGGGGTTCACCAGCGTTGTCCTATATCTCCTATCCTCTTCAAGTTCGTTATCGAAACGATCACGAGTGACTCCGCTCCTTCAGACTCTACCAAAGTGGAAGTTCTGTCAGGTGATCGACTGACAAATATGGAGTATGCGGACGACACAGCTTTTCCTTTCTTTTGTATTGCGGCACTATAGCAAAGGTGTTTTCACCTGTGTGGATAATGATGACGATGAGATAGTTCTTGTTGGGTCCGACGCAGTGACTATGCAAACACTGCTGGATAGACTGACGCGCAGCGCTGCAAGCTTTGGCATGTGCAGTGCACCTTCAAAGTGCAAAGTACTGCTGCAGGACTGGATCGACACACCGGTTCTAGCGAACATCGAACAGTCACTGGAAGTGGTGGATCGGTTCACTTACCTTGGTAGCTGTGTCGCCTCTGGTGGTCACATCACTATAAAGAGTATTTCGCGTATCATCAAGGACCGTGTGTCATTCCAGAGACTCAACCATCTATGGAGGCAGTGGGATATCAGCTTGTCAGTGAAAGGTAGGGCGTATAACGATGCGGTAAGTCCGGTCTTACTGTATGGATCAGAGACGTGGCTAGTTCGCAGCGAAGACATTAAACGCTTGGCCGTGTTTGGCCACCGGTGATTGCGAAGTATTGCTCACGTTTGGTGGGAACACCCGGTGAGCAATGCTGAGGTCCGCCTGTTGGTTATTAGTAAGAAACTTTCTGGTGCCCCACTCGTGTGTTTACTTAAGCGTAGTCGCTTACGTTGGCAAGGCCATGTTTTCCGTATGCTCGTTGATTGGCTTCCTCGGGTGCAGTATACGCCGCGACTGCACCAAGTTGGGCGAAACCTCGAGGTGGCCAGTTCATTGCATGGCATAGAAGCTTGAAGAAATTGACTGAGAAACGGTCAGGCTGGTGAGTGCCGTCTTCGTGGATGGGGCCCCGGGATGGTCCACACTAATGGTTGGAGGCCGTGTCAGACATGGCGCAATCACGCAGTCATTGGCATTCTTGCATCTGGTTGTTAACTGTCGATCCATTCTGATTAGTCTAAGGCACTTGCTTCTTGCTTCCATTTTCTTTGCATTCAACCCACCTATCTTGCCGTTGTTATTTATTGTTAATCTCGCGATGTGAGTCGTGGCAACTGAATCCACAGCATTTCGGTGCTCGGGCCATAGTTGTTAAACTGAAGTGAATCGAATCCCGCGACTCGGCGGCTTGGGAGTAGAGCCTTCCATAGATATTTCAAAGATCCAGTATACGAAGCGCAGTCCTGCTATCTCTACCCGACGAGTGCAACCGCGAGTGCGAAACGAGTTGCGGGATACAGCGCTGTGAAGGAGCAGCACACAAGTAACCATCCAACAGGGCACCAACAAAAAAACGCGACCGCGTTGCATTAGAACGTCTGCAACCAAGTTTCACCAAATGCCTAATTAGATACCTCGTCGAAAGCAGAATATTTCGAAAGATGTGAAAAACTCAGGCTTGATCCATACAAACGTGTTCACCGTCCTTCGGACTCCAATCAGGAAGCCGAGACGCTCCAACCGAGGCCAGCTCAGAAGTGAGGGTCTTCATTCCTGTCGACTAAATCATCACTTGGCTACCTCTCATCTTCCATCCACACCCCCGGTGCACAAACAACGCATGTCGCGGGAGTCGGTGGGCTGACATGCGTAACACGTGGCCGAGCCACCGGAGCCTCGTGCGTGAAATAACGGCGCTGAACGGTTCCTTTCCTTTTACTGAGCCGAAAACAAGGCATCGAACACGCTCTTTGCTCATGCGGTGTTCCCACTAAATGTGAGCTAAAGTGCGAAGGCACAGGTGATCGAACATAAGTATCCTCTCTATGTCCAATGATCTAAGGGTCCAGGCTTCACAACCGTACAGTAGGGTCGAATTTACCGCTGCATTGTACACTCTACCCTTCAGGGCCAGAGTGATGTGGCGTCGGCGGCATAAGTGGCGAAGTTTAGCAAAAACGCCTCGAGCTTTTGCTATACGGTTCGTGATCTCATCTTCAATTCCACGGACGCTGATCCAACTTCCCAGGTAGTTGAATTTCAGAACGAATTCTATTTGATCCCTACCAAATGTCAGCGTAGGAGGCGGTTCAGGCCAAACTTGGAGGAACGATTTGCACTTCGAGGGTGCGAAGCAAAGGCCGAAGTGACGGACAGCCAGTGCTATTCTGTCCAGTGCCGCTTGGCACGTCTGGGAGCTGTCACAGATTAGGGCAATATCGTCAGCATACTCCAAGTCAAGAAGTCGTTCTCCTGGGAGCAGATCCACACCTTCCAAATCGTGTCCTGTGAACGCGGTTTCCATGACTTCGTCAACAGCGAAGTTGAAGAGGAAAGATGACAGCGGGCATCCTTGTCTCACACAGGCGTACATGAAGCATAACGTAACGTAATCGGCACAAGAAAATGCATATTTCCAACCTTACAATGGCAGTAGTACATTCCCCCGTACACAATACACTAAATAAGAAAAATTCCGTAGTGGAATGCAAATCGAAGGTCACTAGATCCGCCAACTTCTTATCTATCAGAACCTCAAACAGATTACCATCAGAAGTAGGTGCTTACGATGCAGAGCAAGAATTTCGCGCAAGGATAAAGATATTTAACTGTGCAAAACGTGATCAAGCTATTGGGATATCTTATAACAAATGACCAGGAACATGAACAGGGCCCAGGATTCATATGACCCAGAATACAGTCTATAAC